GGAGGGGGAGACAGCAGTGCCAAGACAGTATTGCAATGGGATTGAGGGACTGAGTCAAGGGAGCCGTGCTCGGTGCTATGATGTGTTTGTGGGGGAAGAGATGGGGGACAGGGAGTGTCACCACATACAACTGTGGGAACAAGAAAGGGTCATGGACACAGCTTCTGCAGGGAGGTCCTCAGGGGGAATCTGGCCGGGAAAACTGGCAGAGGAGGGAACAGGATAGTGCATGGGGATGGCGAACAGTAAAGACTTGGTGGCGAGAGGGCATCTTCGGGGAAAGGTGGTCAGATGGGTCAGGAGGAGCTATGACTAAGACAGACCCCAGTGCAGGCCGCTGGGGGCTCCTGACACACTCCGCCCCTCTCTCCTCTCTGCGTGGCTCTGTCCTCTGAAAGACAGAGCCTTAAAGCGACCCTGGCCCATCAACACCATCCCTGATGCCCTTTAAGTGGATCCACTGCAGGGCAACCAGCTAAGGCCCTGACTCCCTTTCACCCGTCCCTCCTCCCCCACCCCCAGCAGCTCCTTCCTGAGATCTTGACCTCGGAAGATACTCACCAGGAGCTCGAGAAGGGGACAGAGGAAGGGTGCGAACATTTCTGAGTGTCGGCCACATGTGTAATAATTTCCTACCTGTGCTGAGCACTGGCGTGTCATTGTCACAGCTGTGCTGTGAGGCAGGCCCTTCGTGGAGGGTAACTGAGGCACGGAGAACTGAAGCGATGCGTCCCGGGGGATCCACTTGCAGGTGGCAGAGCTGGGGGGGGAGCCCAGGCGGTCGGCCCTGTGTGCTGCCCTGTGAGATGATGGGGTAACAGAGGGACAGGTCCCGTGTGCTTAGCACCCTGTTTGACATGTGCAAGTGCCCAGTAAACACCAGTTCTTCCGATGTCACCGTCACTGATATGAGATGTAACACGGACAATAACCCCGTGTTGCGTATGTGGAAACTGAAGCTCAGCAAGGTTGTCACCGGCCCAGGATTCTGAAGCCCCTCCTCCCACAGGCCTCTCTTTCCCGAAGCCCCTGGGCTCACCCTGGCATCAGTGCCTAGAACTGAGCCTGGGGGTGTGGGCCGTGGGACCCTCTTCTCCCGGAAGCCGAGTCCCCTGCCCGCTCCTCTGCTCCCTCGGGCCGGCCTCCCAAGGGGCAGTGAATTCCCATTTGACTTATTTGAGACTGGGGCCCAATGTGTAGCCCCTATTAGGGCTGGTCCATTTCTCCTTGTCACCGAGGCTACAAGATAGATCAGCCCCATTTTTCATCCCTTGCATCTGGGGCCTTGCCAGGGCTGTGCAGTGTCATCTCTCTTGTTTAATATGTGTGAGGCCATTTGTCACAATTCTGGCCCCAGAGCCCCAGGCACCAGCGAGGAGACCAGTTCCAAGGCCAGACAGCACCAGCCTCTGTCTCTGGGCCCAGGAGGAAAGAACAGGCTGAGGGCGCTCAGGAGGTGGGGGCGCCAGCTTCTGGGAGGGACACCTGCTCAGGAAGGTGACAGGCCCAGGCCAGGAGTCTGACCTCAGCCAGGTGGGTTAGCCCTCACTCACACCGTGCACTGCTGGGGACCGCTGGCTGAGGTGAGGCCTCTGGAGCCGATCCTGCCCCTGCCCCTTGCCTGCTGTGGACCCTGGCCAAGCTGCATAGCCTCCCCGTGCCTCAGTGTCCTCAGCTGTGACGTGGGGACAGCCTGAGTTCCCACCACACGGAGCCTTGTGAGTGGTGCTGCAGTTCTCTTTTGATGCATAACCCATCACACCACAATGTAGTGGTGTAAAATGAGAATTTATGATTATGTCTTATGGTTCACTGGTTGACTGCGCTCAGCTGGGTGGCCTGGCTTGGGGCCTTCCCTGACGCCTCAGGCCAGTGTCGGCGGGCGGGGCGTCCAGATTGCCCCTGGCAGCGCTGGCGGGAGGCTCGCGGGG